GATGTCAAGAAGGAAGGGCCACCAACGCTGTCTCCCCCGATGGCTCACAAGGAGAAACAGACCCAGGGAGTGAAAGAGGCTTCGCCGAGTCAGCCAGCTGCTCGGTGCAATGTGCTGCGGACTGGAAACGAGATTCCAGAAACCCCCTCGAGAGCCATCCCCTCCAGCTCCTGTCATTCTCAAAGGGTAGGCCCTTCAGGCTCTGAAGGCAGATGGTCTGGGTTCAAATCTAAGCTCCACCACTTACTGCTGTGTTACCTTATGTTGCCTTAGGTAAGTTTTTTTTTTTTTTAATTTTTTTTAGTCCTCATCCGAGGATATGTTTATAGAGAAGAAGGGAGAGAGAAACATCGATGTGAGAGAGAACAACTATTGGTTAGCTCCCATATATGCACTGACCAGGGATCAGACCAGCAACCTAAGTGTGTGCCCTGACCAGGAATTGAATCCTTAACCCTTTGGTGGACAGGACAACACGCCAAACAACGGAGCCACCCAGCCAGGACATCTTAGGTAAGCTTGTTTCTTTGTCTCTAAAGCCTGTTTCTTTGTCTCTAAACACTGAAGTTAAATGATCTATCCTATAAGGTAAATCATGAAGGCGAATAAGATAAATATAAAAATCATTAGAACACATAGGAAGTACTCAATAAACGTTAGCCATTATTATTTCATTATTGTTATTTATTGTTATTGGAACAGCGACCCAGATCCCCTGCATAACCTGGCTCCCGCTGGCCTCTGTGCTGTCATTCACCCCACCCCCCAGCCACGCTGTCCTTGCTTCAGTTCTCCAAATGGCCCCCACCCTGCCCTGCCTCAGTGCCCTTATTTGCTGATTCCTTGACCTGCCTTTCTCTTCCACCCTCCCTTGCTCTCCTTTGCCTCCTAACATCCCACCCCTCCCTCCTCAGATCACAGACCAAAGATTTTATCTTAGCGAACTCTTTCCTGTCTCAGGCATCACAGTTTGCCGTGGCATATTCATCTGGGAGACTATCTGAAAAACGTTTGCCTTCCTACTTAGTTCAATGAGGCCAGAGTCTATTTTGCCCACCACTCTACCCCAGCACCTACCACGGTGCCTTGCAGAGAATAGGTGCTTGATAAATGTGTATGGCATGAACAAAAGGAGTCTTTCCACTCTG